TATGTAACATCGCTTGACGTTTTTGACGTCATGCGTTCAGAAGCATATTGCGAAATTCCGCTGTATTGAGAACATATCAGTGTAAACAGCTTTGATCTTTGATCAGCAATTTGAAATTGTATCAACAAAAAGAGCACTGGATTTGGAACTTTTACACTGGCTGGGAACTAAAGCATGAGGACATAGTCGATTCTAATTGTAAGGATTGACGTCTGATTGCTTTTGTAAGACACTATTCACTGGTATCATCATCATGCTAAATCAAGAAGAAACGTATGTGTAGGGATGATTGATACAATTGAGATATTCAACACAGTTAATTTCTAAGTATTCGAATCGCTCTGATAAGTGAATCGCTTTCTAAGACACTCAAGAACAGCCTTAACAAAACTGCTGAATAAATAACATAAAAAATCGTCCCACAGCATCTATGGTTTTCTGAAACGAGAGAATCTGAAGAAGCCAGTGGTGGGGAGAATATGTGAGAATATACAAATACAGTGAATTGAAATGAGCGGCTCAGATGCGTGATATAACATCACAAAATCTTCACTACTTCTTGTACTCAATGTTATATTAACTAGTATTAAAATTAAAACAATTGCTTCCGTCATGTTTATTAGCAATTTCAACGGAAATCCGTCTGCTGCCATTTAATCACAGTTGTGGAGCAAAAATGGCCAAATATGATCGTGTATTCAGTATTAACCATTTCTATCTCCAGATCAGGTCAATGTTAAATTTGCCTTTCTATCCATAATCTGCTTAACAATTCAATACGTCACTGTTTGCGTTCAGTGTAAGTGAGCAGTTTCTTGTATAGGTAGTGAGCATGTACATAAACATTATTATTGCTAATATCTGGTACTTATTTATACATTATTAATATTACTGACACATAGGTACATTATCAGTGGACATCTTTTCTATTGTGGTTCGTTCATTTATTTGAAACAGTTTAATGCTCCTCACACCTGAATGGACACTTATCAAAAAATGCGGATGCAGTCCGTAGTAGTAAGATACGGGGACGGAAGAGAAGTCGGGGATGAAATTTTACAGTCGAAGATCCCGACAATACGGTTGGCTCAAAAATTGCCGGGGATAGGGGCATGGATTCCGGGACAAAGTCCTCGAAATTGCTCGATCCTCGCACCACATTAGTCAAGAGAAGCGCTTGCCAGCATTAACGCATTTTCAAGATTATTTATAAATGATCAATAACCTTTTGAGTAATATGACAATTTTTTTCAGAGTTGCTTGAATCATTCTGGGCATGAATTGTTGGACATATTTTGTGTGCCTTTGCGAAGTTTTATTCTTTCGAGATTTCTTGAATTTCAAATTTCGAATGTTTTACTAGAAATTTTCAGGGAATCACCTATACAATAACAATGATGTCAGGAAGCCCACCACCACCTTATACGGTCACATGCGCTAATCCGGCTTATCCACCCAATCCGATTGGTTTTGATCCCACAAAACAACCTCAAACGATGTCACCGCCGGGAATGCAACCAATCGCTTCGACAGTACCTGCAGTAGCATATCATGCACCGATGCCGGTCAATCCATATCCTTCCTATTCTCCACCTCAGCCACAGCCTGTTGCACCTCAGCCACAGCCGATTATTATGCAACAAATACAGCAACAAGGTATTTTATATCGTTGATTGATCAATCCACTCATTTTCGTAACACTTCTTGGCTATTCAGCCAGGTTCAGTGGCCATCTGCTTTTAACGTAATGCGGCGATTTACCTTCATCGCAATTTATACTTATTGTGATACATTTATTTGTAGGTAATTTGTGAGATCGAAGACGTTCGTTTTCATTTATATTTCATAATTTTGTGATCTTTGTCATTGCAATATTTATTTATATTACTTATTGTCAACTCACTCTGTGTCTTCCGGAAGGATTTTCATCCGGCATTACTTTGATATTAATGATCCCACTGAATTTACCCAAAGAACTTTTGTTTAGTTTCGATGTCGTTGCTTAGACTTTGAGAGAGTTTATTTTCATTCATCTCGATGCATTCTAGTGTCTACGATCGAGAGTAATTCGTTCGATTTCAGCACCGAATCCAGCCCCAGCTCCAGCACCAGCACCAGCACCTGCACCTGCACCTGCAGCAGTGCCGAATATTATTGTGAATACGAACGCAGTTGGTGGAGGTGGAGAGGGTGGCTCAGCGAATGCAGCCGCTAGTGCTGCCGCGGGTGGTGGTGTGAGGAGTGGAATAATTTGTCCGTTTTGCAAGATGGGTTTGATCGTGTGGCGTAGGTAATTCTAGATTCACTCATATTTCATTGCCAGTTCGGATTAGTTGATCTCTATTTCATTTTTGATATGACTGTAGACGTGTTCTCGAAACTCAAAAAGCTAAATTTCTGCAGATTTTTAAGTATCTTTTCCAAATTCTGAACATCTTCTCGTGACAGATGGTTTTGAAAGAAGTTTTCAAATACTTCGAGGAAATGCATTGTTTTGGACTGAACATTTCTTGCTTTCCTCTCACAATTTGATTATATCAAACCTTTCAGAATTTTACCAAATCATTCTACAAAGTTTTTGCATAGAATTCTTACAGTTGTTTTCATTAAGTTCGATTTTATATCTCTTTTAGTGGCACTTAATATCTTGAAATCAAAACACATATTGAAAAATGGCATGAAGTAATTAAATTGCACATTTCAGGAACTGTTTCATGTTTTGCCTCATAATCGTAATTTCAATGATGTTGCCACCGATATCCTGTTACTTTTGTTTCTTACTACGCACCGATATGGCTCATGAAAACGCTTGCACGGCTTGTAGCTATCGTTCCGGATATCATCTGTGCTAAATGGTGGCGAAACACTCGTTTCATCGTATCGTGTCCGCTTCGATATTTGCTCATGTTGCTCAGTTTCTACCGCAAATATCGCTTTCCCTATCGTTTTCTTGATACCATCCAATGGCAATCGTATTGTTGTTTCTGAAGCTTTTTACTATTTGCTCGTGAATTTGTGACTTTCTTCGCTGTTAATGATTGCCGTAATCGGAATCGTTGTTTCACCTTTCGCACTGTGATTATTTTAATTTGATGTGATTTTGAACGATGCTGCAGTATTGTTAGCAATACGATTTTTAAAATTGATGAATGTCATGCAACATTATTATGATTTTTTAATAGCAATATAATGTTTTGATGTTATTACAAGGGAATGATTTCATTCGTTATATTCCTCGTGTATTTTCGCAACACTATATGTGGCTCTTTCCAACTATTCCACTTGATCTCACCATTATGTATTCTCATATCTAAATATATCAAAGAAATTCATTGGTAACACATCGAGTGATGTTATTATGTGTTTACATATTTTTGAGCGAATGCAATTCTCTGCAACAATTTTGAAAATACGTTGACTGAACCGAGGCCATATTTTTTATATTCGCTTTGTCATGATGGAACAAAAAGGTTTCTTCTTCTCAACAATGATGTGCTTTATTCAGTTCAATGCCGTTTCTTCTCTTTCAAATGTTCACTCAATAAATAATTATTCACTCAGTTCTCTGAAATTCAAGTCT